GTCTCACAGTCATCCCAGCATCACTTTCCACCTCTGTGGACACACTGCTGTGTGAGCAGGTTGGCTGGTGCAATCTGACTCAGGTATGCCTTGTCTTGGCATCTCACACCGCTAGATATGTAGAACAGTAAAGCCCCGTGTACCTGTCCATCAGACTGCTGGCCCCGCCCCTCCCACACAGCTGTGAACCCTGAAGTATGTGGGAACCGGGGAGAGAGGGGAAGCCCCGCGGCAGCTGAAATTACTTACTGCCTCCAAGTCCGGGAAGTCTGCTCCTTTAGTGCAGACTGAACTCAGAGTCGTGGCTCTAATTTGAGGCGCCTTTAGATCCTCGTTATCTGCTTTTCCCCTCTAAAGAAGATACAAATTACTAAAAGGAGATAGGGGCTGCTGCATGCTGGTGCTAGCCCGCTACCCAGGAACAAACAGAAAACTTAAACAGCAGAAACCGGGGGGAGCATAGCAAAGTACCAAGTGTCAGGTCAACGTGTGGGCGGCTGCTGTGTATATGATCCCAGGAGGCCTTTGGGTGGCCCTGTGTGAGCACATGACGACAGTGACGTGTCTAGGCAATCACTGGCTGTCAAGTATAAGTTAAATTGTTACATTTATTTAAGAAAGAGAAAAGTTCAAACTGAATCTAGTGTCACTAATGTAATGTATACTACCTATACTTCAATTTTCAAAAAGAAAAGAAAGTTTAATTTTTTTTTCAAAAAGACATCATTCAAAATTGGTTTTACAAAGAGGGGCCCATGCGGGGAGCAAGTGTCCACTTTCTGGGCATTGTCCATGTTTTTCTCAGCCACTGCCGGAGCACAACTTTGCGTATGACGAAAATTGTTTTGCTCACATTGGTCCCCTACTCTGTTTGCCAAATCTGATTCCATATGGCTTTTTTTTCCATTTCCCATAATTAAATTAGTCCCCAAGAGATAGTGCCTTGTATTCATTGATTACTGTTGGTCCTCCATTTATGAGACAAGTACATACTTTTGCACCTTATTCATGGTAGTTTTGTTTCTGAAGGTTCAGAGACAGTGAACGATATTACAGCGAAATTTACAGCCACGCTCTACCAGTTAGCACCCTCCCATCTGAAAGGCAATGCTGCGTTTCTGGTCGTCTAGTCTCCGCTTTCTGCGTTGCTGTCGTTTCTCCAAAATCATGAAAAGTGCTGACAGAAGGCTTTCCATTATCACGTGATTGGGTTTTGTTCGCATGTTCCTTCTGTTGTCTGGGTGGCTGATTGGAAGTGGCAGTGAGTCTATCAAAGATGCCATCCAAGACTCCTTACTTCCCTTTTTAGTTCTCAAAGAGGGTGAAGTGCCGACTAACACGTGCCCTGGCCGTCGCCTTTGCGTGAATGCAGCCACAATAAAAAGAATGCATCTTTGGGACTCGTGCCTGAGGGCCACGTCTGTCTCAGCACATCATCCATAGACCTCGCGCGATAGGGGTTAAAACTCAAGGACAGGCTACATGTGGAAGCCGCAGGCTGAGTTTTTCAAACCAACGATGTTTTCTTCCCCCTTCGCATAAACAGAACGTTGTATTTCTTTATAAATGACACATTGCCCCTCCTTTCCAAGCAGAACATATTGGTCACTTCTGTTTATTATTGGAAATGTCATCAACGCCATTCCTTTTCACTTAAAACCTTTGATGTCTAGTTGTGAGATGAACATCTTTTTCCTGCTGGGTTTCAGGAGCTGGAGGCAGCGGTGAATGAGGGATGAGGCGGGAAGGGGAGAGGACCGAACGCAGACAAGCCGTTACTCAATAGGCCTGAGCTCCCCTCGGACACCCTCAGCGCCAGCACCCAGATGGAGAGAGAGGCCGGGGAGGAGACGCTGGGGTGGACAGCCGGCCTGGGCCCTCCACCCCAGCTTCTCCCTCCTCATTTTCCTTAACTCCTGCCGCCGCTGGCAATGCGCCTCCCCTCCGGGGACCCATTCTTCTTTTCCTGCCTAAAGTATGGAAAAAATGTCTTGTCGTCAGAGTCCCGTTGAAATGAAATTGGCACATGGAAGGAGCAATGTTTGCGTGGGAGGGGCGGGACTCACTAAGTGCTGAAGTGAGCGGTTCTTCGTGGTGTGGGGCTGTGACCCCCGCATTCACAGTCTTTCTGTGAAGTGGAGAGGGGCGAGGAAATGTGGTTGTCCAGGTCCCAGAGTGGTCACCCAGTCCGGGATTCGGGGGCCATGCCCGGGTTCCAGAGAGCTGCCCCTCAAAATGTGCAACCCGCAGGCCGCCTCCAGCAGATTATTCTGGGTGCTGCTTAGAAATGCATTTCCAAGGGACTAAACCACAATATAGAAGAGTAGGCCTGGGGTACTGGATTTCATGGTTTTTTGATTGATTTCTTTCAGAGAGAGAGAGTGGGAGAGAGAGAAAAAGAAACATCAATGTGTTGTTCTAGTTAGTGCTGCATTCATTGGTTGATTCTTATACGTGTCCTGATCGGGGGATCGAACCAGCAACTTTGGGGCATTGGGATGACAATCTAACCAACTGAGGTAGCCAGCCGGGGCCCTGCAGAACTGCATTTTAATAAATTCCCAGTGACTCCTCTCCTAAATCTGAAGAGTAGCTGCTCCAGATTCTGATGGTCAGACTTCCCAGCTCCCCAGATCCCGTGTGTATCTGGAGGGGCTCTCGCTGCAGGCACTGCCCAGCCGTCCTGCACGTCAGGAACTGAGTCAGAAACTGGGAGGCCAGTGGGAACATCGGCCTGTGAGTCGTGTGGGGATCCTGTGACAGTTCTTCACGTGCTGGCCTTTGTATTTATTCCTCTGCATACAGTGCTCTACTTTCACCCTCAGTACCATTCCCGCTTTCAAGAAACATATGAAAAATTGGAATTTGTCTTTGAAACAAGGCTTGGCCATCCGCCTGCCCCAGAATGAGTCCCATAAGCCCCACCCACTACCCCCAGTTACCTGCTCTGGGACACAGCTGGACCTCTACAAACAGAGGCGGCTGTGGTCAGTGCACCATTGCAATCTACCCGCTTATGTGGGTGTGTCTCTCCTACTACACAGTGGGTTTAGTTGTCCCTGTAAAATCCATCTGGTCCCAGGGCCTGACCTGGAGTTACTTCTCCATAAGTGATCGTCACGTCAATGGATGAGCTCGAAGATCATGCGAGGGCTCGTCCCTGCGCATCCTTGCAAGTTGCCATCACCTGTGCTGGGAGGGGTGGCTGCATTTGTTTTTGTGTAAAATCAGTATGTGTGTATGAGCCTCGGCTTCCTGGGATCCTCACCAAAAAAAAAAAATGGGTTTTAAGAACGAGATAAATAAGATAGTGAGAAAATGAAGATGCTTTGGTGATCTAAATACTTGTGAAGTAGATGTTTATAAATGTCACACAAGGCTTTACAAGTGCTCTGAGTAAATTTAAGAGGAGATCTACTGGATTTGGGCTAAGTGCTAAAAAAAAAATAGTTTCCTTAATTCCCTGTCCAAATACCGCAACTTAAATTTACTGATAGTTGTTTCAGGGCAAATGGAGCCTCTGTAATCCTCGGTTTGTTATAAAGAAAATATTTTTGTCTTCAAATGTTTGGAGGGAGGATTAAAGGCAATTTATGATGGCCTGGGTAGAAAGTAATAAACGTGTTAACAATGGAGTGTCTTCTCAATTGTCATCATTTTCGGGAATTGCTAACAAAATCAATCAATCCTGTGGGCATTTTATGACCTAAAGGAGTTACTTTCATTTGTCATACTGGAAGGTTATAACATTGACCTTGTGGCTCCTCTACTGGATTAATTGTTCCATTGTATTGCTTAAAAACAGGGATTCACTCAGCTATGTAGGAAATGAATTTTCTCATTAGCTCTTTTGCTCCAGGGCTCAAGAAATGTATTTATAATTTATTTCTTTGAGGAAAGAGGCTTTCAAGATCTATATGTAAAGTCTTTTATTATTAAGATGTCCTGGCCCGTTTACATTCTTCAGAAATACTCTATTTTTACTTCCCAAGGAAAATCATCATAGCAAAATATAATTAACCCGAGAGGCCACTTTCCTTCTTAGGGGACCTCCTTTTATTCATAGAATTCCAGTTTGTAGATTTCTTATGACATCTTGAAAGTAATCGTGGTAACTGTTGATCATACTTGAAATTTTAGAAAGAAGTTCTTAAATCATGTTTATCTGGAAGAACTCTATGCAGTAATAACAGTAATACTATGGTATGTTATCGATCCCTCCTACCGCCCAAGGGGATACCAGGATCAGCGGTGTGAGGAGGGTAGCCAACACCTTGTAGCAAAGCCAGGACTCCACGCGGAACTTCATCTCCAAGTGCCACCCTCTTCTAGCCCTACCTTTGGCAGATTCAGTACGGTTTTCCTGGGAGTGCGTGTTTAAAAAGAAATCCTAGTAGTAGTAAAATGTTATGAACGCTTACTCTCTGTTTTCTGTTTTCAGTGAAATGATTGGTTCCCATGCTTGATGAAGTTTACGTTTTTAAAAACTGCCCAAGTAGTCATTGCAAATGACTGGCATGCATGAAGAGGTGTGATGTGGGGAGTGCATCTGAGGTCATTTTAAATAAACATTGGAGGGTTTTATCCCAAAAACTGGTGATTTAATTATTCCGATGCTTCTGATCTGCATTATAGTGCCCATCCTACTTATGTAGGAGAGCCCTACTGAGTAGGCTCACCTGCAAAGGGGGAATATTTCTTTACTTTCCTGTCTACAAGACTCCTCTAATACAGGACGAAATGTATGCATAAAAATGCATGTCTTTGGTCCACTATTCGCTTCTACGTCCTTTGATTTTAAGCTAAGAACTCCTGGGTGAATTTGCCTCTAGCTCTAACATTCTGTGTTCTAAAATCACATGTCAGATAACATTGCTGTGCATTCCTTTCTCCAGTACATCAAATCCGTAATGAGTTGAGCCTTGCTCACTGAGTATAAGGTGGGTTGACGCGATCTCTGCGGGTCTTTGTTCAAATGCGTGTGCTTTCTCCCCACCCAGAGTTAAAGAAGCCGAAGAGGTGTGCAGGCAGAAAAAGGGGAAATCACTGTATAAAATAAAGCCAAGGCATGACTCTGGAATTGTAAGTATCTGACTTTTCTGGCCTTTAGCCTGTGATTTTCTTTGGCTTTTCAATACTATGTGGGCAATCTATACAAAATACAACATTTTAATTATTTCCCTGTTACATTTGAATAAATATTGAGCCTCTCACTTAAAGAATTTCCTCTCCCTGGTGCCTCTAATTAGGCCCGAAAGGCTCAAAGAATCCCAGTCTTCAGCATTCCAAGCTTAAGAATTAAGATAAGTACTGAGTACTTATATGTGGATATGGATGTATAGGTGGGATTTGGGGGTAATCTTTCACTTTCTTCATTACATACAGTCGCAGCACGGGGCTGTGCTTGAACCCTGAGTTCTAACTGTATCAGTGCCATTGGGATCTGAAGCACAGTGGGGAATGCCCAGGGCAGAGCTGCCCCTTGGTGAGACCAGAGGGCTCAGACCCGGTTTGTACCCGTGCACGGCTGTGCACGGCTGGCGCCTCCTAGCTGTCAGTCAACAAGCAGAATTTAGCAAGCTCTCCTCCGTTTCCCCCTTGCCCACCTCTTCCTCACAAACGACATGCCGAGGTTTGCGCCCCGGGAGGGAAGCGCTTGGGCAAAATGACGAGATTTTTCACGTCCCGCTGTCAGTGTTTTGTGGCGTATTTTGAGGGATTCGCACTTGGTGCCAGAGTCAGTAAATGGTATTCTTTTAAGTGAAAAATTAGGTTAGGCTTGAAAATAGGAGGATTTTGAATTAGATTAGTCGAGCACAGTCTAAATGGGAAAAGAATGAAAACAGCCCCAGTTTTTATATGATTGCATAGCTGTCTTTAGAAAAAGTTATGGATTATGACTTCAGTTAAGAGCTGTTGTCCCTTCAAAAGTCCCCAACCGGATGGCTTCACAGGTGACTTTTACCAGACATTTGAAGAAGAACTCACTAACACCTCTCCTTCTCAAACTACTCCAAAAAATTCAAGAGGAGGAAAGGCTGGCAAGCTTATTTTATAAGGCCGCCATTATCCTGATTCCAAAACCACACAGACGTTACCAAAAAAAAAAATTATTGGCCAATAGCTCTGATGAACATAGATGTAAAAATCCTCAACTAAATCTGAGCAAATTGAATTCAGCAGTACATTAAACATGTCATACACCGTGATCTGATGGGATTTATTCCTAGGATGCAAGGTTGGTATGATATTCACAAATCAATTCACACGATACACAACATAAACAAAATGAAGGACTAAAATTCAGACACAAATAACATCTGATTTCACGTATATGTAGAATCTAAAGAACAGAACAAATGAACACACTTGTAGATACAGAGGACAAACTGCAGGTTGCCAGCTGGAGGAAGGGGTGGGGGGCTGGGTGAAAAAGCAGAGGGGATTAAGAAACACGAGTTGGCAGTTGTAAAATAGTCACGGGGATGTAAACCACAGCGTAGGAAATACAGGTAATAATACTGTAACAGCTATGTGTATTGCCCAGTGGGCGCTGGAAATACTAGAGGGATCACTTTGTAAGTTGTATGATGGCCTAACCGCTATACTGTGCACCTGAAACTAATACAAAATCATGTTGAATGTGAACTGTAATTGCAAAATAAAACTTTAAAAACACAGGATGGCATGACAATGAGTGCCTTGAACTATGAGCTCAGCACAATAACCAGCTAGCTGCCGAAGTAAATAAATAACCAAATGCAGAAAATTAAAAAAATAAAAGCCATTTCCCTATCAGTTTCTATGTGTCAAAATTATTCTTAACTCATGACAAGTAATATATTCTGGTTTACTTGATTTTCTGTCTTTCTGATTGAAGTACAAATTTAAAATGGATTGAATGAGGGGGAATAATTATTTAGTAGTTAACCTCAGTTCTGCTGTTAGAAGGATTGAAATGAAACAGCAATTCAGTTTTTATATTAACGTGTTTGTCCATAAAACTGAGAATGAGAAAGCTGAATTGGCACTCTTTTCCATCAATTAGAAACTTAAATTTTAAGAACTTTTTTTCATCAGAAATATTGACTGGTTTGTCTTGGTGAAAATTCTAAAAGATGAAAATATATTCTACTTATATGTTTTTTCTTTATGGGCTGGTTGATCTTTAACCTTTCCCAGCGAATTTGATCCAAACAAAAAGGTCTTGTTTGGGCTACTCTGAACTCCATACATTTTTTAACTTCTCGTTTCTAACTATAACTCTTACCTGGTGCATTTATTTTCAGAAAGCAAAGATAAGCATGAAAACGTGAACACAGAAAAGCAGACGAGAATGAGTCTCTCTCTAACCACTTACAACTTGTTCCGCTGACCTGGAGGCGGGAAGGAAACTACATCATTTGGATCATTTTTCTTCTTTACCTCTTGCATAGTCTTTGTGTTTTCTAGACAGTCCACCAATGGTTGAATTTTACTGTACATTCATATAAAAATGCAAAAGCAGTAGACCCGTGGAGAATTTGACACCTTTTCCTTTTTGTAAAAGTTTTTGGTATTCTGCCGATAGACCGAAACAGCATGTGTAAGAGGCGGTGTCTGCATTAATTCCAAACATGCTACACAGGTACCTAAAGTTGACCTTTGTGAGAATACTCCATATACAGCACAATTCTTTCCTTTCTACTGACAACCAGTACTCCACATCGCTGCATTTAGATTTATGGTTAAAATGTTATTTCTAGTGAATTCTGTCACTTTCACATCTACGTATACATTTTCGATTCTAAAACTTAAGTCCTATTTATGTGTCATAATTGAGGCTTTCCCAACTTTTAGAGTTGCTCTCCATAAATCTATATTTGTGAAAGAAAGATGATAATTTTTTAATTCATCAGATAATGGGTAGAAAAAAATAGCAGAAGGAAATCCCTTTCCTGTGAATCATTTAATATAGGCAGGAATCCGAGTTCTGTTTATCAAGGGCTTGTATCAGGCTGTCGTCGGAGACCCTGCACAAAACTAATCTGTAGCAGAAGGAAGTGAAACTAAAGGCGTGCGTCTCTGTACCTTTGCCATTGCTTTGCACAAAGAAAATAGGACTCAATATTTTGAAGGAATCTAACTAAATGATGCTTATAAAATTGCCAAACATGACTAATTTTTGGCCAGGGGGAAAAAAAAGTAACTTCTTGGAGAGATTGGCATCTACTTAGAGCTTGTTAGTTAAACACACCTGCCTGGACATTTTGACATCATGTGCTGGGGTTGTCTCTGTGTGTTACAGCAGGTGATTAAAAGCTGCAAAATGAGTATGCAGTGATTCATTATCTGAGGGAGCCTAGGAAAGAATTTATTGTATGTTGTGGGGGAAAAATTAAATCTCCTACTTTTCTGAGGATACTTATAGTCAGCTTATGACGCATTGTGATGGTTTTAGCTGACATTAATAGGTGTGGTTTTTAAAGATTAATGATATTTGTTGGGGGTTATGGTGGTTAAAGGGGAGAATTTATTGCAAACCAATTATGGAAAGCAACTCAAAAAGAGAATGTTCTGACTCATAACTATGTATTTATGTAAAGTACGGTCATTTACCATTTAGTTTGTCGTTTAAGTGCTAAGAAACAGCAGTGGGTTTTTTGGTTGTAGTTTTGTAGTCTTCCTGTCTTCTTCACTCCCTCCGATGTGTATATTAATATTCTTCAATGAAAATATAGGGCATTTAACAAAGATCGCTATGTGCAATACTGTATTTAGTGTTTCTATTTCAATTTTTTAGAATGTTAATTTATATGAAAATAAAATGAGTAATAAAAGAGTTCTGTGTCTCCTGTGTGTGTATCACCTAAAGATACTTGCAAAACGAAGCCATCAAATTTAAAACTGGGAGGATAATAAGTTAGACCATCTGTGTTTGAGTATTTTTAAACATTTTTATGTCAGGTTTAACAGTTGTTGGTAGTTAAATATTTGATGAATGCTTATTTTTAGAGATAAAATAATTCTTCTGCTCCATGAAAACATATATGGAGAAAGGTTGATGTTTTCCTAATGTAATTTTTGAGGCAAAAAGTATTTTGCACTTGTGAACAACGACCTATTAATGTTTGGGAAATCTTTTAGAAATTAGATGCAAACATTTATTTGAAACAGATTAAGTGGTGAAGCGCTATTCAAAGATAAAACACAGGAACAATTATGGGGCCAAGAGACAGGTCTGTATTCACAGCATACGCTGGAAACTAAGCATGAGGCTAACGGGGAAACATGAAAAGTTCTTTTTCCATAAAAAAGCTTTGTGTTTAGGCCTATTCTAATTTTAATATAATATAAAAAAGCACTCCTTTCACCACCTGCATATTGGCTTACCATCTACTTTATGCCAAGACACGGTGCTAGTAATTGCCTATTTAAACAAGAAAAGAACCGAATGTTATCAATGTTTGAGGGCATTTCCTCTCAAAGGTGCAATGTGAGACACTCGAGGAAGATTTATTGATTTAGTGAATAAAAAAAAAAATAAATGAGAGGAAGAGAAAGAAAAAGGCCAGGAGTTAAAGGGAATGAAAAATTGACAGTATATGCAGAACATCCAGTTGGATACTTTTGTCAAGCTGGGGATAAAAAGAGTGTAAAGCAATGGTTACAATTCATTGTAACACCCAGTTCAGAAAGCAGAAAGAGCTAGATCTTGAGGGGTTCGTAGGAGTCAGGCAAGTGAAGGGGGGAGAGAAACGACAAATGGGGACGCAGCCCTCAGATGCCCATAGAAAGCATCCTTTCATTTAGGAGCTGTGTGTGACTGGTTCAGGTGAGGCGGAGGAAGCAGAGCATCATGGGGAAAGGATGGAGGAAGACGGTGCTTGGAGACATGGAAAGGGAATTTGTGGTAGAAACTAATGTCATTTTACTTTAGTTTGGGGTCAAGAGCACCTCAAAGTCACTGTGGAACAGTGGCACGGACCACCAGCGAGTTCGTTTGGAGGGCAGTCTTTTTTTTTTAAGACTTTATTTATTTATTTATTTACTTATTAGAGGGGGAAGGAGGGAGAAAGAGGGAGAGAAACATCGATGTGTGGTTGCATCTTGTGCACCCCCTACTGGGCACCTCTCCCACAACCCAGACATTGTGCCGTGACTGGGAATCCAACCAGCGACCCTTTGGTTTGCAGGCCGGCCCTCAGTCCACTGAGCCACACCAGCCAGGGCATGAAGGGCAGGCTGAAAAGTTTCCAAATGGTGGTTCTCCAAATGTTTGGTGGGAAGGGGATGACGCCACGTTTCTAAGAGAGGCAGCAGGGTGAGAAAGAACACGGGAAACAGAGGCAAAATGGCCTGAACGCCTGCAGAAGAATGAACTCTACACACGTATGAGGAGGTGGGGTATGAGGTAGAGAGAGCGGTGAGGACAAACGACCAGGGACTCGGTCCGTGAAGACTTCATTACTAAGAAACTTCATGCGGTAGCTTGTGAAGGTGAGAAGGCATTTGGAATGTCACGTGACCTACTTTGTTTTCCTTAATGAAGCCCGCTCTGGTCCCATTGAGGAGGACAGACTGGAGGAGCATCAGCCTGGATGTCAGAGAGCTTTACACAGCCTATTGCAGTGTCGAACGCAGGAGTGGGAATTACGTGAGGTCTTACTAGCGGAGATGGAGACTTGGAGCCAAGGAAAAGATACGTTAAGGAGGTAAAACATGTAAGGGAAACATTTATATGTTTTCCCTTGAGGTTCCCTCAAGGGAAACCTCTTGAACCTTTAGATGCGAGAAACAAGAAAGCAGATTGAATTAAAGGTGACAGCTGGTTTCTTGATTAGGTTATTTGGGAAGAGTGACCCCCCCCCCCCATGCATTATTAACAAAAGCGACACAGGGAAAACGCTTGAGTCACATTTTGTATGTATAGCAATGCTTCAGAGAAACCTTTTCTGTTAAGCCTACCAAGAAGAGCAACCACAAAGTCTTCATCCCCTTAATCAGCTTCGTTTTCTTCACAGCACTTATCAGCATCTTATATAGTTATAAGGGTATTGGTCTATAGACTGTCGCCAACTCAGATGTAAATCCAGAAGGACATTTTTGCACCTAGGGTTCAATGGGTAACATTAGAAGCAATGTGGGACACTCAAAGAAGATTTACTAAATTTAGTGAATAAGTAAATGAGAGGAAGAGAGAGCAAAAGGTCAGGGGTTAAAGGGAATGAAAATCCACATGTGCTGAACATCCAGTTGGATATTTCTAGTAAATGGAGGATATTGATCAGGACTCCATGAAAGAGGTTTGATTCTGGAAATTTTGAAGTAAGAGCCATCTGCATGCAGGTGGTCATGGAAATCAAGTAGGTGGCCAGGCCGAAAGTTCTCAAGAAAGAAGGAATCAGCCCTGGCTGGCGTAGCTCAGTGGATTGAGCGTGGGCTGAGAACCAAAGTGTTGCAGGTTCGATTCCCAGTCAGGGTACATGCCTGGGTTGCAGGCCATGATCCCCAGCAACCGCACATTGATGGTTTCTCTCTCTCTCCCTCCCTTCCCTCTCTAAAAATAAATAAATAAAATCTTTAAAAAAAAATTTAAAAAAGTAAAAAGAAAGTAGGAATCAGGTTTTTTTTAAAACAAAACCAAAACACTAACTGCAGTTGGGTTGAAACCAATGTTTAAAGGAGAAACAGAAATAGAGAGGTCACAAAAGAAACCTCAGGAAGATGAACTGGCAAATTAAAAGCTGGTGCCCTGTCTGGTGTGGCTCAGGGGATTGAGTGCTGGCCTGCAAACCAAAGGGTCGCAGGTTTGATTCCCAGTCAGGGCACATACTTGGGCTGAGGGCCAGGTCCTCAGCAGGGGGCATGTGAGAGACAACCACACACTGATGTTTCTCTCCCTCTCTTTCTCCTTCCTTCCCCTCTCTCTCCCTCCCTGGCCCTCTCTCTAAAAATAAATAACCTTTTTTAAAAAGCTGGCAGCCACAAAGAACTAAGATGACAGAAGTTGAAATAAACAGCGCTTCAAAAAGAATCTCCACTAACATCCTCTAACTGCCCTTCAAATATATTATTATAAATAATAAGTTTATAAAATACATGTAATGACTTATTTAGTATTCTATTTAAAAGTCTGCTGAAGAGAAGCAGTGTAGAGAAGAAGTTAAAACATGGGTTCTGGAGTTGCACTCCTGGTGTGGCTGAGTAAGCTTGTAACAGAGCATCCTTCCCACAATTAATAACCGTAAACTATGAAAAATAAGAAGCAAGTACTTGGAGATTCTGGGGAGGGGCCGTGAGAAAAGTAGGCAGAATCTCAGGTGAGAGGGGGTTGCACAAGACAGGAACGGTCTAGGGGCCGAGGGCGGTCTTTAGCAATGGGACTGCATCAGACAGCTAAAATCCCCAAACCAGCGGTCTTCTTGGTCAGAAGGCAGAGAGACGACATCCTTTTATTTTTAAAGATTTTACTTATTTATTTTTAGAGAGGGAGAAAGAGAGAGAAAGAAACATCAATGTGCGGTTGCTGGGGGCCGTGGCCTGCAACACAGGCATGTGCCCTGAATGGGAATCGAACCTGCGATGCTTTGGTTTGCAGCCCGTGCTCAATCTACTGAGCTACACCAGCCAGGGCGGGACAACATCCTTAAAGTTGCAGGGAAAGGAGAGACCCTGTCAACCAGAATCCTATGCCCTATGAAAATATGCTTCAAGAATAAAAAAAGAACAGCCCTGGCTGGCGTAGCTCAGTGGATTGAGCGCGGGCTGCGAACCAAAGTGTCGCAGGTTTGATTCCCAGTCAGGGTACATGCCTGGGTTGCAGGCCACGACCCCCAGTAACCGCACATTGATGTTTCTCTCTCTCTCTCTTTCTCCTTCCCTTTCCTCTTTAGAAATAAATAAATAAAATCTTAAAAAATATATATTTAAAAAAATAAAAATAAAAAAAGAATAAAAAAAGAATAAAGACACCTGGATATATGAGAAGACTGTGAGTAATTGTCACCGGCAGACCTGTACTACCAGAATGTTAAAGTTTTTCAAGTTCAAGGGAAATGACACCAAAGGAAAACAGGTCTTCAGGAAGGAATAACAGGCATCGGAAATGAGAAATACCTAGGCAAATGTAAAAGACTAGTTCTTTTGCTTTTATTTTATTAAACACTAACAGTTTAAAGCAAAAAACATATGCCATCATCTTGAAGGGTTTATAATGGATGCAAAAGTAATGCATAAAACTACTATAACAATGGCATAGGGAGGGGGAAGAAATTGCAAAATATTTATATTTTCATGAAATGGCACCATATGAATTCCAAATAGACTGTGAGAAATTAAGGATGTATACCCTAACAGTATATAGTGTAACCCTTACTGCAATCTCTAAAAAGTTATGGGAAGGAGAATAGCTAAAAAGCTAATAGATAAGTAAAGTGGAATCCAGAAGATATTTGAATAATTCAAAAGAATATAGGAAAAGGAGGATCAGGGATAACACGATTAAACAAGACAAAGGACAAACAGCTGGATAAGCATAACCGTATGAATAATTACTTTAAATGTAAATGGACTGAACATTGTGTAAAAGGCAGAGATTATTAAATTATTTTTAATGTATATTCTGTATTTTATTTTTTAAAAATTTTTAAAGCTTGTTTTTATTTATTTATTTATTTATTTATTTATTTATTTATTTATTGTTTTGGAGAGGGAAGGGAGGGAGAAAGAGAGAGAAAAAGATCAATGTGCGGTTGCTGGGGGCCATGGCCTGCAACCCAGGCATGTGCCCTGACTGGGAATCGAACCTGTGATCCTTTGGTTCG